AATTTGGTTAACCTTTTCTGCACTTTTCCCAGTTTGGCAATATTCCTTTTTGAGCTTTTGATGACTCAGGATAGGCTTGTGCTGAGCACTGATTCACACCGGCATGCTCATTTGTGGTATCAAAGCAACGGCGTCCTTATGCGAATGAGCCACCCCAGATCAAAGGCCACAGGTAGCGCTTTCATATCAATCACATGTTCATCCATTTAACTGTCTTGTTTTTACTGATCTGCAATGCCATTCAGGGAGCCTTTTGGGGAAGGGGAGTGTTAAAGAGTGGGATAAAAGTTATTTAATGTTTAACTAACTAAATAAATGCACAGCACAGATGCACCAGTGTAATTGCATCAGCCTCCATGTCTGCAAATACACTTGAGCAACAGCTTGGGAGCCTGCTGATCATCAATGCACTGGGCCTTGATACTACACACTACAGGGCTGACTGAGAGAGATACCTGAGAGATGAGCAAATGCCTGACTGTCTGCCTTTGACACCCTTCTTTGGGCTAAGCCGGCAGGGGCCTGCCTTTCATTTGAGTAGCATAAGCTCTCCTTTCTCTTCTCTTTGTTTCCCAGCAGCGAGCCCTGCTGCGCAATGAAATGTCACTCAACATGTGCCATTTGTTGTGCTCGTTTCCACTGTCACTTGCACACACAAATGGCCATCTCTCCACATGAATCATTGTGATGGCTGACTGATCTGGGGCCTTTGCTCCTACCCGTGCAAGTGACTAGTGAGAGGGCAATTAAATGAATCATTTCGGAGGCTGATTTGCTACATCATGGCCCCCTTTTGTTGTTGAAGAAGCTCCTGCACGTGAGCTTCCACAAACGCCTGTAAGCATGGGATAGACTAGTATCCTTCCCCACTTCCCTTATTTGAACTGGATTGTGAACATGACATTCTTGGCCCAAATCAGGAGTGGGGAACCTCAGGCCCAGGGGACAAATACACCCCTACAGCGCTCTCTGTCTGTCTGTCTGTCTCTGGCCCTCAAGACTTTCATTAAGTCAAGCCAGGCGGGCTGCAGCAAAGCTGTTGCAACCATCTTGGATTCCAGCTTAGGTTGACTAGACCAAAGGAGCACTACAAGTGTGTGTGTGTGGACTAGGACACATTCCTCTGGTGAGATGTTCATTTTGTCAAATCCCACTGCAATGCGACAGGAAAAAGACATGACCCATTTCCCCCCATAAAATAGTTATTTCTAGCCACCACATGTTTTTATCCTGCCACATTGCAGGACTAGTTTTCAATTAGTAGTAATCCTGAGGTAATGAGGCATCAGATCAAGGTCTGCATTTTAAAATGAGCTTAAAAAAATATATTTGTAAATGTTTGTATGTTTTATGCCAGGCATAAAGCAGCTGGCTAAGTACTTTGGCAGTTGTTTATCTCCTTGAACAGGGCCCCCCTGATTTATAGCAGTCCCTCAAAGTTGTAAAAGGGAAATACAGGCTGGGAGCAAAGGTTACATTGACCATACTGACAATCAAGCTGCAAAAACACTAATTAAGAGTTGGTAAATAGTAAAATTTATTGTTTAACAGAAAATAATACTATGTGCCTCCCATTAGACTCGAGCCATATTTTCATAAGGTTAAAGGGCAAGAGCTAATAGGAACAGCAGCTGGCTGGGAAAGGGGGGTTGTAAACTAAAGAGGCTGCTTCTGAAGCTGTTTTCTACTGAGTTCCTTTTTTACTTTGCAAAGGCCTTTTCTTCTAAAAAGCTATCTATGTTATGTATGAAATATATTGGCTTAAATGTAATTATGCAAAGGATTTAGAAAGTAAGAAATGTTAGATTCTTATGTTAGATTCTTATTCCATTGATGGTGTGTGAGAAGGTGAACCCAAGATGTCTGTTTAGACAAAATTTAATACAATGAGCCATCTGTTTTAGCCATCTGTTTTGGAGTGAAGGGGCAATAGGGTAATAGGGCAATAGGGCAAAAAGGTTATCTGGTAATTAAGGTGCCTGGTCGAGGCAAATATAAGATATATGGCTACTTGTCTGCCATTTATGGATAGAAGGAAATAGAGCTCTTTGTCTCCCATAAAAGGTAATAGGAAATGGGTGTATCTTTTATGATTGGTTCTAGCAAACAGCCAATAGGAATTTCAACCAGGCTGATTGGACAGAGGCAGCCAAAGGAGGAGCAAGGGGGCTGGGCTGAGGAAATATAAGTGCTGGCCATCAGGGCTGGAGTGGGCAGAGCTTTGGTAACCATATACCACTGTGTCTCTCATTTATTTGTCTGACAAATAAATTATTATTTTAATTTCTCTATTGCTGCGTTGAATATTTCATTCCAGCTAAGCGTTAACCACAAGCAGGGTGCTACAGTGACACTCGGTATTTTGCTCTGTGAATTGCCATTTTAGGATTAAATAACATGCATTATTTTCACTATTGAATATGAATAAAAAATAAAAATGTGGGCCCCATGCTGCAGAATGGGAGTCAGAGGTGTGTTTGGGCCAGTTGAAGACCACTGCCCTAGGCCATGCTGTCTCCCAAACCACACTAACCTTCCCCCAGACCACACCCTTTACCTGCCCAGCTGTATGCCCTCCTTGAATGCTTCTGCCTGGCTGGGATGTATCCTTGAACTAGGTTCATGCCTCTTGCTTGGCTGGATGAAGAGACATGTGTGTAGAAACCTCTGAAGTTTGCCTGACTGGGATGTAGATTACTATACAAAGCTAAGAGTCAGATCTGTTGTTCCATGCACCTTTACCTCTGGGCCCACCAATCCCCAGCCTCTTCTGATAAGGCGGGGTGAGATCACTGTCTGAAACCCCCAAAATCCTCTGCTAATCCTTGTAGACAGTATTGAGCTAGATGGACCAATGGACTGACTCAGTCCCTCCAGACTGGTGTTTTATTGCAGGTGTTTTTCTGCAACATGGTTTTTAAAAAACACACACACCAAAAGTGGGTTTGCGTCTCGAGGTCCCAAAACCCACCCCCAAAATAAATACACACGGACACTTATATTAGTTTAAATTTTTGGGCAACAATTTTGACCACAACTTTATTGAAATACAATCACGTGAGCGGTATTGGCTTAGGCATTGACTCCCCACTATAACTGGCTCCACCTCTCATGGTGATCGTCAAATGGGGTAAACCAAACGAGGGAGCTAGGTCAATGAGGACCAACCAGCTCACCCCGGTGTTCCTGTGGTCCTGGCATGGCCCTAGCCCCTCAAGCAGACTCCGGACGAGATCCAGGACCCCCAGATTCCTTTAACGGAATACCCAGTTCCTGGAGGGGCAGGTGATGGCCGCACCTCCCCTCCCCACAATCCAACTGAGCCAATGCTTAACCACCACCTTACAAGTTGTGACGATTTGCTAAGGGGCAGGCGAAAACCAAATGGCTAAAGCTAATCTGCCAAATGGAAAAATTCCTACCCAGCCCCTGTTCCAAAACAGGCGACCCAAACCAAAGCAAGGCCAAGTGACTCTAACTAAACTAGGGAGGGTGGGCGAGTGTTCAACAGTGCAAAGCAAGTGCCCCTCCTTGCATCACACTGCTGTTTTTAAAGCCCCTGGGATCACACCACCCACTGGCTATTGGCTAAAATCGCCTGGTATGATCCCAGGGGAATGGCCAGGACTTCTTGCTCCTCCCCCCCATTTTAACCCTATCAGGTGAGCTCTTGGGTCCCCCGCGCAACCAGGACCCTCTGTTATGAGGATCCCATTTATTCTTTTCTGCAGTGCTTCCCCAATACTACCACATTATTGCTGTGTGTAGGAGCTAAAGCACAACAAAAGTGAAACAAACACAAACCAGAACAATTGTGGTTTAAAATTAATGGGATTTCATCCAGTTGCTGCAGGATTGGACTGATTGGCAATGAAGCAATGTGTCCGCCCTAAAACTTTTGCAGGCACAAATGGTAATGAAAATGAGATTGTGTGTGACTGCTCCAACAGCATCATGAGCGCAATTCGTTGTGAATGTGCAATAGAAAGGTCATCTGGAGGGAGCCCTAAGGAGATTTGTAAATTCTATGTTCTACTTGAATGTTTTTATTATAAACAGGAAAATATATATACATTCCCAGAAGAGTTATAGCAATGCTTCCATTTAGAGTTGTGGGTGTGTTTTTAAATTGTTTTACCTTTATGAGACAAGAGTGGATAATCCCAACGTTTATTGCAAGAAGGCTTTCCGTTCTTTCTGTTTCTCCTTTTTTTAATTGTGGCTTTTGTTGTTGTTGACAGAGAGGGTGTTTTGGTGGGTGTTTTCAAGTTTCACCACAGCACTTCTTTTCTGCGAGATTTTGTGAACCGCAAGTATAGCAAGCAAATTAATTAATGCTCAATTATAGCTGCCATCTGGGGACTTTTGCATTAGATCCATAATTAGGCTAAATTAATGCATCGTGTGTTTAAGAAATTATGCAACACCAAATTAATTAATCATGATTAGGGGCCTTTTTTGACACGTTGCCTGTCAGTTAATCATCTTCTCCCCCCCCCCCCCAGCCTAAAAGAAAGGAGTCCTTGGGCAGCCAAAAATGAGAATGAAGGCGATGCTCCGAATTCTGAAAATTAAAGTGTGACAATATGTATGCGACTTCGACATTTCCAGCTCCTAATTGTGAAACTGCTGCATGCTTGGGTTCAGCGAGTTTCATGCTAAGCTCATTAGGGCTGTGTAAAGGACGCAGGACTGATTGTGTGAACTTCCCAGGAGAGGCAATCTGACTGCTAGCCCGTGTCCTGACTGTCATACAGGTCTATCAGTCATCCCCTGACCTTACCGAGGGGGTAGACTTTCAATGAGAATGAAGAAATGATTTTTCTCTCTTGATTGTCTTCGGAGACAATTCCCCACCCCACCTCAATTGCTTTCTCTCTCTCTCCCCCTCCCTCCTCCCTCGCCTGCATGCAAATGTCTTCTGCATGCTGGGCAATCACTGCTGAGAGTAAGTTTGGGCTGGGAGAGGTAAGGAAAGAAGGCTCAGCAAGCAAAGATGTGGACTGTTTCCAACTGCTGGTATGCTTTAACATACAGGGCTTTTTTTTTCATCCTGGAAATACCACATTTGAAGGGTTTCCAAAGTGTACAGTGGGGGGAGATACACAGATCGGTCTTCTTCTGGTCTGCGTCGGTTCCACATGTGTTCATTCATATGTCTGTTCTATCCTGTTTCCTCTTCATTCTGCTACGTTCTCCCCCAGTTTAGACGACACAATTCACATTCCGTCATAACCGGATCCTACTAGAGAAAGGCATAATAGGGAAATCATATTGGCATCCTCCTGGTAAGTTTCTCTGATAATAAATACCTAATTTTAAAGGGGAACATCATGAATTGCTGTTATTGCAGTGCCTTACTGTTATGCATCCTTCCATAGAAATATATTTTAACAAAAGTTATATATGGCCTCCAACGCTGCTTTCCAAATGCTTTTACGTGGAGTTTTACCATTCTGACATGAAATAAATCTGTGTCAGCATTTAGAATACACATGCCTTTTCATTAAAATACACATTTTGTGGGGCATTTTACCCTGCACATTAAATGACAAATAAAGGTGGGAATTGCACTGCAAAAGGCAGAGAAATATGAAAAGCAAAGGACAAGTGCATTCCCATCTTTGTATTAAAACGTGAATCAGGTTGGTTTACTAAGGGCTTATCCACACTTCCACTTGTCCTGTGCTTCCTAGGTGCAGGGTTTATCGTTTGCTCCGGGAAAGCTTGCTCTTTACTGCTGAATCGGAACAAACGAAAATCCATAGAAAACCTGATTGATGTTTGTTCTGATTTAGTGGTGTTCCTGGAGGAAAGCAGTGGGATGAGTGGAAGTGTGGATTGCAGACCAAACAAAATCAGTGAGTATTCCTAGTGGTGAATGCACATTTTGCTCTAACTTTTCTTCCCTGTGTTTACAACTATAATCCTTCATCTCCCATCTCATCAAATGAGCCAGTGTAGTGCAGGGCAAAAGTAGGACAAGGATAAGGAAAGTTAGGGCATGTTGTGGCCCACATGGCATACACTGCTCTGTCCTCCGACACCTTGCTGTTGATCCTCAACACCAAGCACCCACCACCTCAGATGGTTGCCTCACTCTGTCCAATGGTAGGGTTGTGTGATGGACTGATTGGACACACAAGAATGGTAGAAGGCACCAACTGGGGAACTACCAAGTGAAGAAGGCTCAGAGCCCAGGGATTGGTGGTGGGACAGTGATGAGTGGTCTGAGGGAGAAGAAGACTGGGAGGAGGTGTCAGAAGCTGAAGAAGTAACAGGGCTTAGTGAGCAGGGAGGAGTCTGTGGCAGAAAGCAGTCTAGAATGAGGGGCAGACACTGAAGCTGGATAGGAGGAAGGATAAGATGAAGAGAAGAGTCTGGCTGGTGAAGAGTTACTGGTGTCTCTGCCTCCTGCTGCGATGAGCTCCCCTCCTCACTTGTCTCCCAGAACCAGGAGAGGCATCAAGAGGGCAGAGGAGAAGTGCCTTCAAGCAGGTACAGTCTCAGATTACTTGGACCTAGGCAGCTGTGGGGAGGCGGGGATCTTCAGCGTCAGCAACTGCTTCATGGGGGCAAGACCTGTCAGACATGAACTGGTGTACTCATTCGGCATGATATTCCTGTGCAGACACTGTTTTTGCTAATAAAGAGTTAACGCCAAATTGTTCAATGTGATTTACTGCTGCTCGCTTCTGTCAGGCCAGGCACAATTTCTTGAAGTGCAGGTGGACAGTCCTCACAGGCCTTTGCTGAAGTCTGCCACAGACTTCCCAGCTCTGCACCACCACAGCTGCCAAATTCAGCTCCTGCCCCACACTCCCCTCAACTCTCCCTCAACAGCTGGGGTACACAGGGCACATTTTACATGGGAAACCTCATCCCCAGGGGACAAATGCCAAATCCAAACCTCTCTATCTGGCCAAACACCCTCCCCAGCCCACACTCCTTACTGCTTTGCACCCTCATGTGATTTTGCTTGACTGGACTATGTCATTGGACTCAGATTCTGCTTGCTTATTCAGGTGCATAACTGTCTGCAGCCATTAAATGCAACCTCTGTGCAACGCATAAGTAAGTCCCACTGTACTATGGAATTTACATTCCATAGTACAGGGAAAGTGTGATCAGATCTCAGCCTTACTGAATCTTCATTTTACCCCAGATATGTTTCATTTTTATTCCCTTTCTCTTTCGTTCAGATGTGTGTGTGTGTTTCTCCTTCTCAGACCCAGAGCTCCCCCCCCCCCCCAGTGCATGCGGCCTGTTAGCTCATTCTTCCTCTTTCTCCATATTCTGATTCACGCCTCTGCATTTCCTGTTGAAATTGGTGGGTGGGTGGGAATTTCTGAGTAACCTCCCACAATATTTTCCATTCATCCTGTTTGCCACAGCACTCCCTTCAAGAGAAACAGGTGGAAAACAAGTGGCTTGCCTGCCAAGGAATTCTGACTCTTTTCCCCCAGCTGGGCAGGCTGGAGGGGTTAATTCTCATTTCTACTTCTGCCAGGCAAGTGCTGACAATGAGGGGAGAACCCAAACCTCTCTCGTGGCAAGAAGCATCATTTCATAGGAACAGATAACAGTGACGATAGCTCTACATAATGAATTTACCCATGAATATTTGGTGGTGGGCGGGCAGGAGAGGCCCATAGCTCAGAGATATGTTCACTCTCCAGTGAGATCCCTGTCTAAAGCCCCAAAGATCCTCTGATGATCAGTGTAGACAGTACTGAGCCACATGGACCAATGAACCAAGGGTCTCTGTTTTTGACACAATAAAAGCGGATTTATTCAGTACACTATCTTGGGAGCTCCCAATTCAATTTCTCCTTGTAAAAGCAGGTGTGTGGCCTCCCAGTTTGTACCAGGCTATGCCATGGGGAGGAGGACTTCCTGGTTCACACTTCCTTCTCATGTTGATCCATTCCTCCCCATTGGACACTGAGAACACAAGAAGAGGCCTACTCAGTCCAGTGTCCTGTTTTGCACAGTGGTCAACAAGATGCTTCAGGAAGCCCACAAGCAGGACAGGAGTGTGATAACAGCACTCTACTGTCTGTGCTCCCCAGAAGCTGAAATACAAAGACATGCTGCCTCCAGTATTGGAGGTAATAAACAGCCAGCACCGCTAGAAGCCACTGATAGCTTTATTCTCCATTCATTGGTCTAATCCCCATTTAAAGCCATCTGAGTTGGTGGCCACCCTTTTATGCTCTGATTATGAATTCCATAGTTTTAACTGTGTGTGGTGCGAAGTACGTCCATTTCTCCTTCCTGAATCTCCAAGCATTCAGCCTCATTCTTTGGATGAGACCAGGCTGTATTACGAGAGAGGCATTTCAGTATTCTTCCTTATTACTTCTATTTATTCATTGCCTTATGCAACTTGTGGCTTACAAAATAAAGTGGTGCAGTATAATACAAAGATATATTCGAGAATAAAACACAAGAAGCCTTTTAAAAGATTGCAGGTGACCACCCATGATTTTGAGTTGCTCTGCCCATTTGCCCTAGCAATCAAATCTAGATCAGGCAGTGTGGGCTGCAAAATAATGAAGAAGAAGAAGAAGAAGAAGAAGAAGAAGAAGAAGAAGAAGAGGAGTTTGGATTTGATACCCTGCTTTATCACTACCCGAAGGAGTCTCAAAGTGGCTAACATTCTCCTTTCCCTTCCTCCCCCACAACAAACACTCTGTTAGGTGAATGGGGCTGAGAGAAGCGTGACTAGCCCAAGGTCACCCAGCAGCTGCATGTGGAGGAGCGGAGACGCGAACCCGGTTCACCATATTACGAGGCTACCACTCTTAATCACTACACCACACTGGCTTCATGACACCACATGAAGATGTTTTGTGTAAAGAAAATCCCACCCACCCACCAGCCTTAGCCCCCTTTTGATGTTAGGTAAGTTCAAAACTCCACACCTATCAAAATCCTAAAGAAAATCTGAAGTACCCTGAGAATGAGGTAGAAAAATTGAAGTTTTTTTCACAGGGGAAGAAATTGGAGGACAGATTTTGGCACATAACCTCAGTATCGTTGTGACACAGCAACGGCAAAGCTCTTCCTCTTGATTTTCTGCTTGTGTCATGAAGCAGTTAAAGGCAACAGTTCCCTGGCAAGAATAAAATTGGTACCATATCTGGAGGACAGTGTTGGAACAACCAAAGTAGTCATGTGAGCTGCTTCTTTAATGAGATCCTTGCTAGCAGCTTCATGCATAGGCAAGAGGCTATTGCTATTAATATTCCCCATGGTTTAAGGGGAATCTGGCACACACGAAGGCTTATCTGTTTGAACTTCTATAGTTCCATAGATTCCGTGGCCTTTATCAAAGGCAATAGGCTTGAAGCTTATAAGTGCCACCTCCTTTTTCCTGCCCAGCACAGGCTTACTCAAAATGACAGCTGGTAGGAAAAGCTCCAGAACTTTAGAAAAGCAAGTAATTGGCTAAGAGTATTTATTCTGCATTTATGCTATGCTAACCAGTTGAATAAAAGAATAGCAGGTCTTCACCCAGAAAATGTACCTACAGGCAGAATCATAGGATCGTAGAGTTGGAAGGGACCACAAGGGTCATCTAGCTCATCATCTCTGACCACTGATCCTACAAGCTAGGGATGATGGGAGTTGCAGCCCCAAAACAGCTGGAGACCCAACTTTGAGAAACCCTGATCCTAGTCCAATCCTCTGCAATGCAAGAATCTTTTGCCCAATATGAAGTTGGAACCCACAACCCTGAGATTAAGTGTCTCACGTTCTACAGTATTTTATGCCCTGAGGAACAAGGTGAAACTTCAGGTGGTTCCTCCAGCTTATAGCCCACCTCCTTCTCTGACTTCTGTAGTGCAAAATTTAAGGTATGCCAGTCAGGGGAAGTGAACAAGAAGGCTCCTGCCTGAATGGAAAGGGAAAATGCAGTGACACAACTCTGGTGCTTCAGAGCCTTCAAAATTATAGGCACCTTCTAGGAGGCTTAGTTACAGATCTGCAAAACAACAACAACAACAACACACAAAAAACAGAGAGGAAATGCATCAGTGGAAACTGTCATCACACTGAATCTGTCTCCTCCTTAGAGGACGAAGCTGGGGATTTGGAGTGGGGGAGAGAATTACTCTTGGAGCCAGCCCCGGAAGTACATAATGAACCCTAACCACTTGTGTTAGAGGAGGCTCCAGCCCAAGGACATTGTGTTGCCCTCCTCTGACTCAAAGGACTCCAGAAATGTTAATGGAATCACAGTCTGCTCTGGTCCATTAGAGTCAACAATTGCTCAAGTAGGCCCTTTAGATGAAGAGGTTCTTCTCGATGAAGGCAAGAGCAAACGAGGTAGCGCTGCAGCTTCTATTTAAGGCTCATTCTGAGGCTGGCTGCTGCCGAGACATCATATGAGCACCACTCCTTTGGTGGATCCAGTCTGAGCTCTGCACGGGGCTGTCTAGAGGATCGCTGCCCAAGGTACCACTGAACCTCTCCTTTGCTCATCTCAGCATCGCTGAGTCCATTATACAAGAGAGAACAAGAATGCACACATACAGAAGTCCCTGCCCATTTCAGATGATTGCCTTCCACAAATTGGAGGGTGATTTAAATGGAACCAGTGTGCTTGTCCCCATACCCCCTTCATGGGCTACCAATGGTGGCATCTAAAAGGGTCTTAAGTGTATGTCTTTTGCACGTAGCTCATGGTGGTGGAAATCAGGATCTCTCAAGCCTAAATGAATTGTACAAATATTGCTTTTGTTTCCTAAGGCTGCTATTAAAGACAAGCTTGGTTCTCTCTCCCAATACCCTCACCAATGGATTTCTACCAGTCCAGTTTGCAAGAGCAGGATTTGTTGTTGTTGTTCTGTGGACTGAAAACAACCTGCGGGGTTTATTCCTGCTGAACCACTCGCCTTGTCCTCTGTCACTGCCAGTGACCTTACATGTCTTTTGCATAAGCTAAACCATGCTAAAAGCAACATTTAACAGTAAACCAGCCTCTGCTTCAGAACTGACCATGAGCTTTGCTGCAAATGTATATACCCTCACTGAAACGCAATGCCTAACTAGCACATTCTGCTTGATGAAACATACAGCGATTTCATGGTCTTTCTATGGAAATGTTAAGGAGCATGCTACCCAATGGGGACACAATTGTTTTCACAATGAGAGACCAAAGAAAAATCGAAATTTCCTATGGATCAAACAAGCATGCTTCGATTGTCATTTCCATGCCACAAATTTTTAGAAAGCATGATTGTATATCTCATCCACACCAAATTTTGAATCTTCAGCATGAATCTACACCTTCAATCCAGAGATGCTTTTTCATGTGCATAAGTTTAAGATGCCCATATCATCACCATCTCACACTCACATTCACCACCCCATTCATTGGGGGTGGGGACAGAGAGAGCAGTTTCAGCAATTTAGGAGTATACTTCCCTGGGTGTAAGCTCCACTGAACTCAGTTAAGTAAAAGATGTTGTGAGATCTGATCACAAATCTCCATTGCCATGTGCATTTTGACCCCAAGTGACCTTTCTTATAAGCAATTGCATGGGCCTTCTCTTCTCTACCAGGTAAGCAAAGACTAATCCTGCAGCGTTTCCTTTATTCTAGTTTATTAAAGAGCAGTGTGTGTGTGTGTGTGTGTGTGTGTGTGTGATTGTTTGTCCTGTGTTGAAATGGACTGGATCCATAATAATTTAGTTGCACTTAGGTCCCATTGAAAAAGTAACCATGACTAGCTTAACACCCATTGATTTCACAGGGAACTAAGTGAAACTACTAATCTGAATCCAACCCAGTGTTTTATGACTTATGTCATAAAATATAACCACAACAAATGGTCTTAAAATTTGGGATTTGGGGATTTTAAAAATTATTTCTGGGGGAGGGTTGCAATGCAACCTTGAATGATGTCTTGTGGTGTCTCCCTCTACCTTAAAATCTAAAATGACACCCTGTTTCTGAACCTACAGGCTATTTCACTAACAAATAAAACAAACAAAACGCTGAATGTGCTTGGCCATTGGATTTTGAGGTTTGCCATTCTTATGGAGCAGAACCCCCTGTGCAAACTCAATTGAAATGAATGGGAGCTGCTTAACACTCAAGGGAGTTCTTTATTTCTTTTTATTTCTTTTATTTCTTTTTTTTAAAAAAAATCCACTTCTCTGGGCCTATCACACATCAATTAAAAGCCATATGAAATGGGTAGGTTTTTAAAGCCTGTTTAAATATTGCAAAAGAGGGAACCAACCTCACATCCCTTGAGAGAGAATTCTGTAAATTAGGACCTATTACTAAGAAGGCCCTGTCCCCAGAGCCTGCCAATCCAACTGATCTTATAAAGGCATTCATTAAAAACATTTTGTCCCACCCTTCCGTTAAAAAAAAAGCTCCCAGAGTGGTTACAAATGCCAATGATATGGGAGTCCCTGTCCTTAGGCTTACAATAAAGAAATGACATAAAAGGAAAAGGAATTGGGAGGGGGGAAGCACATTCAGACATTATATCTTGGCAATCGGCAGCTGAAATGGAAAGATTTCAGCAAGAGGTGGGGCCAAAAGCTGCTCGTCTTTTAGCAGAGCAGATGGCGATGGATTGAATTTGATGGAGATGCCCTGAAATCCCACCGCTTTCCCTCTCCAGTAATCTGATGCAGTAGCAGTCGATGGGGTGGTGCAGACAGGGCTGTGTTGCTCACCTGACTTCCAAACACTGAGCATGAGTCCCAGTTACTGGGAGCTACAGGAAGCCCAGTGCAAGGGCGGCAGCAGAGCTAATCTGACTCTCCGGCCGCACCAGCACCATGCCTGACTCCCTACTTCTCCCCACCCTTCAGGAACCAGCCGAAGATTAATGCTCAGAAGGCAGATGATCATCGCCGCCCCATCTGCCCTGCTCCACCAACCACTACTGGCCTGAGGGAGTGGCTAATGATGGAAGTTGAGGGAGGAGCTTGATAGAGCTGGTCTCTCAGCCCAGCAAATATAGAAGCTTTGCAGTCTCAGGCCTCTCCCCCCTCCTGCTCTCCTGCCAATAGCCTGACAGAATCTTAAAGGGACACCAACATGCCAGTCCTCTGATGGCAATCTTAAATCATGGACAGATTCATATTAGCACAGATGGTTCTTCAAACAATGTTCTCGCACAGGTCAAACAATGTTCTTGCATGTTCTTGCAACGGGTCTTGGAATGGGAAGCTTCCCAGTGGATTTCTGCCAGCGTCGGAATTTGTATTGTTTAATTAACAGCCAGATTAAATCCTAACACAGTTAATAAATAAAACACATTTTGTACAGATTGCAAGCTGCCCTGTTTGCCAACTCCGCCAGCCAATAAAATCCGTTGATAGCGTGTGTTAACTTCTGTCCCGTTTGACAGTTTTTAAGGGTTATTATATATTTATAAATACATTAAAAAGTTGCAATGCATATATGGTATATATCGGCCTGGGTGTGCAACATCTAACGGATAAACAAGCTGTCCAAAAAGACGTCTGCATTGGCTGTTTGGTTTTGTCTCATCCTGGCCTCACACACAGAAGCTGCCCCAGGGAGATGAATGTGCCAGGATAAGTTATCTGGGGCTCATAAAATCTTTTTTAGAAGATTGAAATAAAGTCAGTGCTTGCAGAAGACAAATCAATTGTGACATTTCTGAATGGAGTGCGATGCATTTAATTAGCACAAGACATACTGGCAAATGCTGAATTACCCAATAAATCACTGGATGCTGGAACCCATACGGAGCTGGGAATCAGCTGTCTTGTGAGATGTACAGCAAGGGCTAATAGGGAGATCTGGCCATTTCTCCTACATTTTCTGCTAAATTTCATTCATTTTGACATTTACACACCAGGTCTCTATAATTATTTCAAAACACCAAGCACCGAAGCTTCTCCAGATCCAATCAGGGTTTCGGGGTGGGGGATGGGGGCATGATGCAGAATTCTAGCATTAAGAGCCTCCTTTTGCTTAATCCCCCCCCCCCCCGGTTTGCAATTTGGATTGCCCTCGTTGCAGGTCGACTCCTGGGTGCTTGTCTGGCATCCTAACAACAAGGACAATTTATGGGCTAGGGAAGCTTAATAGGTGAATTCCCAAGCGGAAGATTGAAAAGCTTGTAGTAGGACAGCAGTCGCTATTGACCTTGAACCTTTGAAGTGTTTGTGTGATGTGCTGGTGCAACACTGAACAGAAGTTTGCTGTGGTCTCTCAGGTGGTTATCTGAGAAGGGGGTCAGGGTTCACAGGACAAAAATGCACACAGAGTCCCTGCATAGCAGCAGGGATGCTAACCCCCCCCCCCCTGCAAAATAAGGACCTGAATATATGACACCTTTAAGATGCATTTCCAGCTGCAGTCCTATAGACAGGTGCCACAGTGTATCTTGTGTACGCAATGCACAATTTTAGACCAAATAATCTGTGCATTTGTGTGCCCAAGTTATGCCTGGGCTTAAGTCTATTCTCATCAAAACTTTATAGAGCTGAATAACAAGATTTTATAGGGACTATAATTCTTATTCCAGGTTTATGCAAATTTTGCATTTGAGTAAAATCCGCAGGTAGACTATTCTTGTCTCTCTCAGTATACAGTAGATAGATGGTCTATTTAAAGATTCTGTATTGTTAGGCATTTTATATTACAATAAAGTGCTATGCCTTCACAATCTGAGAGATAAATGGATAAGCACATAAAACCACAATAATGGCAGCTTGGTGTCAGAGGAAGATGGTGGTGTAGTAGGAGGGGAGGAGGGGGGAAATGACCTGGATATTCCAGATATCTTTCCACCCCCTGCACAATTGTCCACAAAATCTTTTCTTAAGTTTAGCTGCTAGTACATCAAACTGGGTCACTCATATTTATCTGCATATATTGATTGATACAGCAATGACCAAACTGCAGTTCTGGCCAAAATAAAATGATGCAGCTCTTTGAGAACTCTGGAAAGGGACTAGGAAAGGTTGCTGATATTTTATGTATATGTTTACATGGTGGGGGGGGGGATGAATCTCATTTTGAAGGGGAATCATTCCTAATTGCCAAAGGTATTAAGGGTTTAGCAGTCTGTGATAGTTGATTTGCTCGCTCTTTTGTTTGTTCCCCTCATAGCAAGATGGTTCTCTGGTGGCTCTTGGAGGAGAGAAAAAACACCCCTGAGAGTTGGATGACACCAACTCACCAGGTTATTTCTTTCTTCTTCCCTCCTCTGAGGGAAAGATGGTACCTCAGAAGCTTCTGCGGGGCCGTTGTAGGGCTGCTACTGGGAGCTGGATGATGAAGGCTCATCAAACTACTTCTTTTCCCTTCTCCTGAGGCAAAATGGCCCTTTGGAAGCCAACGGTGAAAAACTGGAATAAAACAATTGAACTCTCTTGTATTTATTTTATTTTTGATTGAACATATGCACATATGGGTTTAGTGGCCCTTCCTCATCTCCCGTCTGAGGGTGCTGCTTTGCTCCAGTGACTGTCTGTTCCATTAGCTGTCCTCGACTGAAATGCCTGACTCTGCAAATGATAGTTCAGCCACCCCTGCTTCACTGTCCTGGGATGCACAGAGCAACCTTTGCCAATCTGGTGCTCACCAGACATTTTGGATTATGATCCCCACCAGCCGCAGCTGGCATGGCCACAATAAGAGATGGGGAGCCCGCGGCCCTCCTGATGTTTTTGGACTCCAGTTCCCATTGTTCCCACCCATTGGTCTCACAGACTGGTGCTGATGGGAGTTGGAGTCCGTCAGCATCTGCCAAGGCCACAGGTTCCTCATCCCTGCCTTAGAGGTAGGTTTGTGACATCGTGACTCCAGAAGAATAACAATCTCATGTCTGCAGAACTGTTCGCAAGCCTTCCCATGAGTCTCCATCTGTATTTCAAATCTGACAATTTCTCTCAGCCAGAAGAACTTCAAAATACATTTCCCCCCTCATAATTTCAAGTGCAGTTTGACATTTGAGAGTATATATATATATATATATGTATGTTTGTGTAGATGTGTGTGTATGTGTGTGTGTGTGTTTTGGCAGAGTGGAAAGCATGTTAACAGGCTGATGGCATTTTAATTATTTTATTGAGCTGGCATGGGTTCAGATTACTTGTTGAAATTTCCAAACGCACGTTGGACTTAGATTTTACTTTGTAAACTGGGCCCAAGAGGCTGACTAATTAGAATCATGACTCAAAGCTATAAAGGGGTACTTATTGATTCAGCTCATGAAAAGACCAGGACAATCAAAAGCAAACATCCATCTCCCTTTTCATCTGGGGCTCAGAAGGTTAAGTACTATTTGTTTCAGATCCCTGACATTAGCTCTTTCTTTGTAACATAGGAGAGAGCACAATTAACATTCTAGAGCCATTCAGTTTTAGTATGTACTATATTATTTGCAAGAATGCTCTGCTTGTAGCCTAATTACAGTGCAGGTTGCAAGCCATTATTTGAGATCTTTCACTGATTAGGATTTTAATTTAATGTTATTATTTTTGCACAGATATAACTGAATGTACAGGATGTCCCTTAATCTCATTGGTCATTGGAAAAAAAGCAATGACATTTTGAGGTCCATTTATTGTTTGGGCATCTTATTCTATTTTGTGGGTGTGGGTGTGGGTGTTGTTGTTTTTTTAAAAAAGGGCTACCATTTGTGTCCGGTACATGTGTGAAATTTTCACATGGACAGATTCCCCTATGTTACGTTTGCTATTCTATGAAAATGAGATATGAGTTCAGTCATAAGCTGTGGGAAGTTGAATTTTTCGGAAGATTTCATTATAGTGATCTGTGCCAAAAACATTCATTTCTAAGAGCTGGAAAGATTCACACTCTCCCACGCTCAGAAAAGTTTTGTATGGCAAGAGTTACTAATTCTGTTAGAGGCATAAAAACTGAGTGAATATCTCTGCAATCGTTCCCCTCAGGATCATTCATTCAGATATGACTCCTGCTAATTTTTATTGAAAATGGCTGCTTACCGCATCCAGAAGCGGCAATTTGCAGCCTGGCGTGACTTCAGCTGAGGCCGCGGACCATTGTCTTGCCCTGCACAACCGTTGGAGGATGTCAATGGCTCCTCCCACAGCCATGCAGGATGCTAGAAGTCTGCTCATTTGAATTGGCCAATCACAGGCAGCCAAAGGGGTGTAGCCACATCGCCGGACCTGGAACCCAGAGTCTTCACTCAGGTCCACCTATTTTCTATATATAAGAAAATAGCCATGCCGAAGCCAGCCAGCTTATTCAGAGCTGGATTCCCCATTGCCATGCAATAGACTTTGGTGCTGTCCAAATGTAAGGGAGCCTGTCTCATAGCAATCATCACAATTTTGTTGGCAGATAAGGCATCGCGCTGGATCATTAGCCTTTGCAAAAGGGGAGGGGGGTCTCAGGGTCCGCCCTTCTCCACTACAAGAAATGGGTACCTCATTAAAGGGGACCTGGAGGGGAAGGTTGTTTAGTTGCCCAGATGGGGGTTGATGGGTCAGAGCATCCTCCCCAAATGGTGTTCCTGGTGGAATCATAGTCTACTGCACAGAGGTCAGAGTCACACACCTGTTGTTTCACCCCCTTTAACCTCTGACCAAACTACTGGCATGTGGACCTCAGATGGCTGCCCATGAGAGAATGCGGCCTCTGGGGTGGAAAAATATCCCCACCCCCGTTATACTGAATGAGGTAGTAGAAAAAAGCGATAGAAATGTGGATCAAACCACTTCTGACTCAGGGGAGAAGTCACCCCAATATAAATGCTCCCCCATGTGAGAAGCTCCCTTTGTGTAGCTAAGCACAGTGGTACCTTGGGTAACATACGCTTCAGGATACATATGCTTCAGGTTACAGACTCCTCTAACCCAGAAATAGTACCTCAGGTTAAGAACTTTGCTTCAGGATGGGAACAGAAATCGCACAGCAGTGGTGCGTCGGCAGTGGGAGGCCCCATTCGCTAAAGTGGTGCTTCAGGTTGAGAACAGTTTCAGGTTAAGTATGGACCTCCGGAACAAATTAAGTACTTAACCCGAGGTACCACTGTAACTCACTGGAGAGACGGGGTTAGGGGAATTAAATGGATTCCTCTGCCAGATGAGCTAGGTTGCTACATGAAGGGTGCAGGTGGGTCACTTGAAATTATGCTCCAGCCTTGTAGTGTGAAGTGATATGGTCCAGGATTTTCCCACCGCAGTCCACCATTTGATGCTACACAATGTGTGCAGCTTGACTCTGAGCTGTTCCAGAAGCACTACATTTTCTTACTTTGGAGAGAAAAATTAAAGGATTGACAAACAGATGATCTGCGAATGTTACCGGATGACAAATTGAAAGTTAAGCCTGCCGTGGGAATATGGGAAGAGATTGTTAACTCAAATGGCACAAGTTTTTTTTTTCTTCCCATGGATGAAATGGTTCCAAACTGAGTGGGTGACAACGGAGGTTCAAACGCCTGCAGACATTATTAATGTTAATATTACTTTGTGTTAATTACCAAAAATGTGATCCTTTGTTCCACATTTAATCACAAACCATTAATTGATTCCCCCCGCCCCTTCCCCAACGCTCCTAATACATTTGGCAGTGGGATATAGATGTGCTTCATGTAGTGAGCGTTCCATGCGCATGAATCACGGACATTTTTTAACAGTTCTCTCTGGCTCTGCAAGCATTTGTACCATCTCTAACACTGCATCAGATCAGAAAAAAAGAGACTGCTGCTCTGAAGCTGGAAGGTTTTCTTTTTAAATATTAATAAAAAAGAGACGGACTGGAGAATATTCATTTCCAAAACCAATTGGAAGCATAGACAAGTAGCCTTCCACAAATGTATCCTGGGGGGCATGGAGATTGGATCAGATCAGATCTGTACCTCCAGTGCCACAGATGGAGCTCTGACATAAGAGAGGGAGATCCAGTCTCTCTCTCTCTCTCTCTCTCTCTCTCTCTCTCTCTCTCTCTCTCTCTCATGCTGTAGGAGACAGTGGCTCTCCAACTTCATTTTCTGGGCCACTCTTCCAGAATAACAATTTGCTTGTGCCATACCAATTTTTGTATTATTATTATTATTGATAAGAAACGCTTTGGAAAACAAACTACTCCTAGCAGTACTTGATTTATAACACAGAACATAACTACATGATATGATCATGGGACATCCAGAAAGTCGGGGAAAAAATGCAGCTACACAAGAAAAGGAATCATTCCCAAAGTATAATTATAAACAAGCCTCTTACATACTTAAGCTTCACATCCAGGCACTTTTAAAAGCTCCCCGGGAGGAGGGAGGAGAATAAGAGGGATGCAGCAGCTGTGCCGACGGTGGGTGAGAGAGCAACGCCTCTCCATGCAAGGCGGGACTCTGGGGAGGAGAAAGCGGCCAGGGTGGAAGTAGCACCGGCAGCTGGCTTTGGATGCCAGCTTGATCAGAATTATTTATTATTTCATAACAGGTAGATAGTTAAGAGCTTAGGTGGCTTCAGCGGCAGGCGCCCAGTGCCCCCCAGAATTTGGCGCCCTGGTGCCCCGCACCCCTTGCACCCCCGGGTAAAGACGGCCCTCCTGACATGTCTGACATGTCTCAGGTGGGCGCCATTGACATTAGAAGAGAACAAGGGAGGCGCTCATGGTGAGTTCCAGCACCTCTTTTTCTAGAAAAGCAGCACTGGAAACAACTTTGTGTTTTACACATATACACCCTTAAGATTACAGCCTATTACAGCTTGCATTCTTCGCCTGTCAGTACAATCCCATGTGTGTTCAGCTGGAAGGAAGTCTCACAATCATTAGTGTCTGCATGGATTTTAGAGTTGGGGGGCAGGCAACGACAAGGCTCTGGTATTTTGTTTCTTTTTAGAAATATTTCTAGACCACAGAATCACTAAACTCTCTAAGCGGTGTCCATAATGAATGTATGCTTTGTGAAGTTCTCTGCATGCTGCTGAGTTTTGTGCGTTGTCTCTTACAAGGTAATCTCAGCCTTTCCCATGTAATAGTTTGTGAACATTGTCTCTGGAACGGAAAAAAAAAATATTTGGTACATCTCTGACTTCAAATCCTGTTGCTGGAGTGTTGTGTGTGTGAGATAAAGAGAGACACACAGAGAGAAATAAAAAGCACAGTAAGATGGAAGAAAATAATAAAATGAAAACAAGCGGACTATTCTATGAAGAGAAAATCACTTTCAAATTTTAGAAATATATCCTGTGGTGGTCGGGGGACATGGCATTAAAACAGCTGAAAAACTCTGAGCTGGTCTGTTTGTTTACAGTGATGAGAAAATTGGCTTCCTGTTGCATGAGCTGTGGGGACAGCTGAGCATTTTTGCTGGGCGGGTTCCTAATTTCTAGGCCTCTTTACCCAACACAAATGTTGAGCTTAGGGGGTGGATTGAAACCCACAGAACTGGCTTTTTCTAACAACTATGCAGAGTTTTGTCAGTGCCAGAAAAATGGGAAGTGGGGAGGAAACAGCAGGCTGTTGAGTCACCTGTATAAATATGTGCTAAATAATTTCACTCTGCTTTCGTTTCTGTGCATGGCCTGTGTCAAGGCCTTTTTTGGTGGCCCTCAGCAACATTTGATGCCCCGCACCTTCCCAAAGCCAAGTAACAAGGCGCTGGGCTTTGGGAGGAGACATGAGGGCTCTGACACAGTCCTGGAGTCCTCATGCCTTCTTCCCAAAGCCTGGTTAGTGCTTTCCCAGGGTGTGTGTGGGTGTGTCAAATTTTGGCCTCTGCACGATAAAGCAGAATGAGGCCCAAGAGTCCCATGTCAAAGTGCTCTTGTGGCCCACTAGGTGTGAAAAGTTGGGCTGCCTGGCTTAGTGTTATGTATTCAGTGGTCTGTGTTTGCCTGAGCTTGAGTCTGGACTAAGGATTATGAGCCCCTGCGTTCTGATTCGATACATCATATCCAATCACAGAACATTTCAGGATTTGGGCCTCTGTCATTGGCCCTTAAACTCTGAGTTATGATTCGCAGCTTGGAAGTTTAGACAGCCAATCATGTTGGGAGTGGCCCAGGCCTTCAGAAATGTATATAAACAGTTGCTTTGCCCTTGTTGCCCAGTTCTGTTAGTTCAATAAAGGTTCTTGCTTTTATCACTGTGTCTTGCCTCGTGGCAATTCACCTACACTTTACTTAGACCGATGGACAATTTTATATGCTGGTTCATTAAAGGTAAAGGTAAAGGGAACCCTGACCACTAGGTCCAGTCGTGGCCGACTCTGGAGTTCCGGCGCTCATCTCGCTTTATTGGCCGAGGGAGCCGGCGTACAGCTTCCGGGTCATGTGGCCAGCATGACTAAGCTGCTTCTGGCGAACCAGAGCAGTGCACGGAAACGCCGTTTACCTTCCCGCCGGAGCAGTACCTATTTATCTACTTGCACTTTGACGTGCTTTTGAACTGCTAGGTTGGCAGGAGCAGGGACCGATCAACGGGAGCTCACCCCGTCGCAGGGATTCGAACCGCCGACCTTCTGAACCCACAGCGCCACCCGCGTCCCTTTTTGCTGGTTCATTACAGGTAATTAAATACACAGCACTCTGCCTCCTGGTCATTAGAAAAAGGATCAGATGTGACATTGGAAGGATGTGGATTCTATGATTGACAAGAAAAGGCTTTGCCTATGAAATGAAATGTACTAAGATTGTTACACATTGATAGGTTGATGCTTGTTCAAAATGTGTTCTTTCCCTTGCAGTGTATTTAGTTTCTAGTTTATCACCCTAGCCTAGGTATTTATGTTTCCCGTCTCCAACAGTTGCATCCAAGGCTAGTAATACCCGGAAAATTAGTTGGAAATAACCTTCTGGGGTCAGAAGTCTACAATGCTTCAAAGGGCACGCTAACATTATGTACATGAACGCACATAAATGTCTGTAGTACAAAATACTGCAACAGTGGCTTTTTCATGAAGAATCCTATTATCAGAGACAACAACAGAAATGGTGCTAGCCACCATCAATGTGCCAATTATAACTGTGAGCATTCATTATATCTCCAAAGCAAGATACTTTTAAGTAACTAATGACTTGTTTTTCATTTGCATGACACTGCGTCATGCTATTTG